GTTTTGTGCCTAGTTGTTGCCGTTTCTGACTGTATATAGTATCTAGTTACAGTGGTGGAGAGTTACTCTTAACTCGTTTCCATATGTCCTTTTCCTTTCTACTTTTATTATTGGCTCAATACCCGAGTTTCAAAGTAAACGATCTCCGGATTTTGTGAAATTCTGACGAATTCTGTCTCAAAACCGGCAAATGCCTGTACAATCATGTCATGTACAGTGCTGGCAACTGAAATCCGACCCCCTGAGCAGTGCGCTCACATCGCAAAGAATGTGAACCCATTATCGTTTTGCACATACAATGTAACGACTAATGTTAACGATTTTTTGAAAATCCGTTAATAGGTTAAAACTCGTTAGAATTTTGAAAATGTCCCTCAATTTAACATTACTATTGTATTATTTTGTGTTGTATTTATTTAAAAGGATTCTCCAAAAGCAAATGGATGCTTATCACGGAAGTCTCCCACATAAATATCGCAAGAAAAATGGGGAAATGGGGGAGAGGAGAGTGGAAGATGAAGCATGGGAAGAAGGGAAACAAGTACCTAAATATCGAGGTATAAAAGCAGGACAGAAATCGACGAGGGAAGAAATCACCTCTGCAGATAATAGCGGGACATTTAGATGAAAAAAAACCAGCAAGGATTAATTTCAAGGAAAAAAATTTCTCAAACGGAAAAGTTCGGAATTCCAGTCAGAGAATATCTATGCTGTGAGTAATGAGCCTTTAGAGCAATGCGAAAATTGCCAGAGGACTGAACGCAGCGGATGTGTTCTGGAAGTTTGTTCCATTCCACAGATAAACTGAAGAGAGGGGATTTAAGGAAATGGGCGCCAGAACGAGGTAAAACTATAGAGGACGGGTGACGACAACTAAGGGATACATTGAATTTGAAACGAATTAGCAAAGACGGAAACTGGTAAAAGACATGATGAAAATACAGCAAGGACAGAATCTGACGACGCCACTTCAGGGATGACCAGTCACAAGTACGATTAAGAATCTGCTTCGGGGTTTCCCACTCAGGAGGGTGCCGGGTCTTACAAAGCAGATATGAACGAGCAGCAACGGCTTGCAGTCGGTCTAACGTAAGCGAATCTGAATGGGATACGGCGAATGACCAGACAGGGACTGCGTATTCTAACAGTGGTCGTACGTAACACTTGTAGAGCAAATTCACGGTTGAAGCAGAAAGGAAATGGGCCATATGGCGCAACAGAAAAACACGACTGCGAAACTTATGGGTGATAGATTTTATATGGTCAGAAAAATTTAGTGAAGGAGTGATAGTCACGCCGAGATGACAGTGGCTATCACCTTTCTGAATAAGCACACCGTTCATTGTCAAGGGGGATGACGGGCCGGGGGCTAATGCATATTTTTGAAAGGGTAGGTGGACGCATTTACTGGTGTTAAACGTCATGGCAGTAGCTGATGACCATTGACAACACTTATCAATGTCAGTCTGGAGCAATGCATGATGGATAGGAAGTGAGGTGTTTGCTGGAGAAACAAGAATTAAATTAGAGTCATCAGCAAAAAGGGATAGGGTACTAGAAGCAGGGGCATCAGGAAAGGAGTTGATGCACAGGTTAAAAAGAAGCGGGCCGAGATGGGAACCTTGGGGTACGCCAGCGGTGATGGGCAAAGGGTCAGAAAGAGTTTGGCCAATGCGAACGCAAATACTACGATCACTGATGAAGTCCTTCACCCAAGAACAGGCAGAAAGAGAACACCAGCCCGAAACAGATTGAATAACTAAATGATGACTAACTCTGTCAAAGGCCTTAGAAAAATCAAGGAACAGCTGGTCACAAGAAGACTTAGAATCAAATGCACGCGAAACAATTGAGAAGTACCTGGGCATCACGATAGACGAGCACGTTCGATTTGACGAACACGTTAACAATGTTGCGAAGAAGGCCTCGCAGAAGGTGGGAGCACTCTGGAGAGCCCGCCGTTGCCTTACAAGAAAGTCCAGAGAGCAGTACGTGAAATCCGTTGTGATGCCAGATTTGCTCTACGGGTCCGTGGCGTTCTCTGGGTGCCTTCGACAAGACCAGCGGTCCCGCCTTCAGGTCCAGCAAAACCGTGCGGCACGCGCCGTATTCGGCCTGCCACCTCGCACAAGCGCCCAACCTCTGCTTGCTCGTCTGCAGCTGTATGGCATCGAAGAGCTCCACAAGCAAAAGACCCTTATTATGGTCTGGCGTTGCTCGAATGGTCGGGCAAGCAATGCACTGCAAGCCCTTCTGGAGCATCCCAGTACTCGAACAACGCGCGCACAACGCAGCTTGGGCCTTCGAGTGCCCAAATCTGCCTCCAAAGCCGGCCACGACCGTCCAACCGCTCGCGGGTCCATTTTATGGAACACCCTGCCATCCGACGTGCGTGGTATTACCCAGTACCACCAGTTCAAACAAGCCTGCCTCCCGTTCTGTCTTGCTAGCAGTAGCACCCACTACTGAACACTACAGGAATCATTGAACGTTTGCACAGTACCAGTCATGTGCTGTTTACCGCCTCCCCGTTGTTGTATTCTAACGTTAACGTTATTCATTGACTGAGCGTTCTTTGCTTTGTACTACATTGTACACCCTGCTATCATGTTAGGCTATTTCCTACAATATTTTACTGTTTCCATTCGCTTCCATGTAATTGGGTGACACCGCCCGTTTGGTTCTGCGAATTCAAATAAAAATGTACCTACCTACCTAGGTAAGCTGTACCAATTGGTCAACTGTTGACCTCTTTCGACAAAAGCCAAACTGGCTGGAACTGATAATTTTATGGCTCTCAACAAACGAGTAAAACTGACGGCTAATCATAGACTCATACAATTTGGCAACTGCATTTAACAGCGATATAGGACGGTAATTGACTGGGTGAGAAGGATTACCTTTTCCCTTGAACACTGGTACAACAACGGCAGATTTCCACTCCCTGGGCTGAGTACTGGACAGCAAGCAGCGGTTGAAAAGGGCGGAAAGAGACTGTGACGTGACCTCAGCTGTTTCACGGAGGATGCGATTGTTTAGCAGTCCAGCGGTTTTACGTTGAATGGGAAGTCTGGATAGCGTGTCAAATACGGACTGCACAGAGAATGGTTGTATGGAAAACTTCACAGTGGACGTGGGTGTTAAAATACCAGCTGAGTGCAGGTCAGGTGTTAGCAGTGGCGCCTGGCTGTAGCTCGCAAACACTTTGGCTAGGAGATTCGTCTTTTCCGTATTACTCGTGGCTGGGTAGGCTTGGTTGTCATGGTAGAGGTCAGGGATAACCGGAGACGGGCGATTACTGGTCTTACAGTACTAGTAGTAATCGGCTCTTCCATCGGCTAAGAGAATGTCCAAATTCGGCCATATTATGAGCGCCAAAGTCAGAATTCGGCTCAAAGCGGTACTTGAAGTCACCTCTCGCACATGCACATGTACCTGTACAAGTACGTTTACACGCACGCTGTATAGGCACTAAAACACCCATTTTCGGCAAATTCAGCGCGAGATTTGTATATTCGATGCAATTATCGGCGATTTATTGACAGCCATTGATTTCAGCGTCTTTTCCTGCTGACCGTTTTCGGAAATGCCTAAAGTCGCAGTCACCTTTCGCAGATAATGGCTACAGAAATTGAAAAGATCGGTGATATTTCAAAACCACTCTTTTCGGCCAATTTTTCGGCCGGCTGATTTGGGAAATGCCTAGGTCAGACCCAGCACAAAGTGGTCAAAGACCGAAAATCCCATTCATGGCATCCATGTTTCCCTCCTGCCTCGTGTTTCATGGGAATCAAAACCACTGGGTATAAAATTTTGAAAGGATGGTGTCTTAGAAGCCGGATCACAGTCCTGTGTTCAGCGGGCTTACATGTATGGCATGCTTTGTGTAGTAACCCTGCTTTTTATGGTACTAGTACTCGGACCAGCAATCATTTAATGGCAGTAAGATGTGTCCAGAGTCATCTTCCTTCAGATATATACAATGTACATGTACATGTACACTGTTGTGAATTGCAGCAGAAATCCAAGAGAGCTCGATACCGGGAAGGTAGAGCCGTGACACACTAGTCAGAACAACAGATGGCTTGATCAGTCACAACTTATCACCTCATGAGTGCCTGAGATGGCATGAAACTTTAAGTTGTGACTGATCAATGTACGTGTACATGTACTGCATGTGCATGACTGTATCTAAATTGCGGCCAGGGGTTTTAGGGGGAATAGGGAATTCATGTGCCAAATCTCTGGCGATTCCCAGTCAAACGTACATGTACGTGATCCAGAGTCAAAAAGGCAATGGCCGGTCTCAAACTCAGCCAGGATAGCAGCAGAGCTTTTGATGACGAGTGTACCCTGATTACTGGCCACAGGGAACCAGTCAATTCATGACAAATGCAGCCTCTGTCTCTGTCTCTCTCTCTCTCTCTCTCTGTCTCTCTCTGTCTCTCCCTGTCTCTGTCTCTGTCTCTGTCTCTGTCTCTGTCTCTGTCTCTCTCTGTGTCTCTCTCTCTGTCTCTCTGTGTGTCTCTCTCTCTGTGTTTCTGTCTCTGTCTCTCTGTCTCTCTGTCTCTCTGTCTCTCTGTCTCTCTGTCTCTCTGTCTCTCTGTCTCTCTGTCTCTCTGTCTCTCTGTCTCTCTGTCTCTCTCTGTCTCTCTCTGTCTCTCTCTGTCTCTCTCTGTCTCTCTCTGTCTCTCTCTCTCTCTCTCTCTCTCTCTCTCTCTCTCTCTCTCTCTCTCTCTCTCTCTCTCTCTCTCTCTCTCTCTCTCTCTCTCTCTCTCTCTCTCTCTCTCTCTCTCTCTCTCTCTCTCTCTCTCTCTCTCTCTCTCTCTCTATCTATCTATCTCTCTCTCTATCTATCTATCTCTCTATCTCTCTCTCTCTCTCTCTCTCTCTCTCTCTCTCTCTCTCTCTCTCTCTCTCTCTCTCTCTCTCTCTCTCTCTCTCTCCACACCCCACACCCCACCGCGACGGCTTGCAAAACAGATAGTGCCACGCTTGCATAGCTAGTAGACGGGGATATGAATTGCATTTTGCACACATGTAAAAAACAGAGTGCACACAAAGTATTCCCTAGCCAAGAGAACCTACAGCAGTAGCATAATAGCCAAGACGGATGATGTACACGCGAACGGTGTTCACCCAACTCAGAAAACCCATGGCAACATTGCCACGATTGCTGAGACTGGTGGCCAGCGTGCGACTGGCAGTCGAAGATAATTCAAACATTATTCTCTAGTCGGACGTCTAAACCTACAAACGCAACCTTTGGAAATATCCTAAACGGACAAATGTGCCAATATATTCTAAGAGCACGCAGGAGAGCTTGCGGACATTCATGCACCATACAAACACGTCAGGCTGCTGAAAGCAGTGCCAGTATAGCATACTTGCAGGATAGGGGAAGAATTGCAGCTCACACACTCGGCACCAGGCATTGCAGAAGGCCAAACAAGGGCTCTACCGGGAAAAGGGGCATGCATGGCAGAAAGCGTATGTCTTGTTACTGGAGCAAAAGACCGTCGTCTAGCAGCTGGCCCAGCGCACACGAGATGAATTGAGAATAGGGGCAAACATACTCTGTAGTGTTGTTCTATGACATAAGCGATGACATCATGGTGACATCAGAATGACATCATGTAACATGTCATGGCACCACACATGACGTCATTCCACGCGTACACCGCAACTAGAAGAGCTTCTTGGACTTCTTCAAGTTGTCCTTCTTCCACTTGGGCAGTTTCTCGAAATCGGCCGCAGACATACCAAACACGGTCTGGAACTCATCGTCGTTGAGATATTTCTGTAGAAAAGGAGTGAGAGTGGGACAACAAGAAGAAACCTTGAAACACACCAATTGCAACATACAGGTAGGGATCATTGCACTCGGGTGGAGAGCCAAGGATTAATTGATAAGAAGAAAAGAGGACCAAAGAGCTACAAGTTATGCTATAAAATCCTATAATGCTAGAGCTGAGTGCCAGTTAGGAGGTGTAGAACGTCAGTGCCGTTGGTCAGTGTCTTGCACTGTTCTCGCATGAGCTGATTGTAAAGTAACTGGTGGTGTTAGTGGATATTCTAGCGTAACTTGTAGCTCTTTGGTCCTCTTTTCTTTTTAAGAATACAGGCATCGAGATAATCGATAGCGCCTTGCGTAGCATGAGTTGCTAATGCAGTGTGTCATGACTTTGCCAACACATCTCAACTGATGATGCCATCGTATCACCGGTTCAGCACACAAAGCACAGAACTGAGAAGCCACAATAGTTTCGACTAGGCCTTTCGTACGATTACTTTTCAAGTCGAATACAATGGTGATCAACAAGGTGGCAAGCATGTGGCTTCTGTACTTCGTGGGCGAATTTGCTTTCCTCCGACGAAGAATATATCACCGTTTATGTGTTCTCATGTTATGCACGTGGTGTACCCAGGCGCGTGCCCCGCATGGGTTCCTGGTTGCCCGGAACCCCCCCCCTTTTTTCGCTCAAAAATGCAGGATTTTGCTTCATTTTTTGAAAATTGTCCCGGGGGGCCTAGAACCCCCCCCCCCCCCTTGAACGGCACCGGCGCACTGGTACCTCACGTAGTTTGTTGCAGCAAATTCTGCTGTCATGGTTAGCTGCTTTATAAGATAGAATACCACGTTTCAAAAAGCTCATCTTGACTACACCTACTTTGGCTCATGCTTGTAGTTTGTCTTGTGATGGCGTCTTAACATTTGGGCCACAGTCAGCTCAAACATGTCGGAGAGGAAATTGTCAATATTTTATTTCAGAAATTGTCACATTTCTTGCAAGCTGCTTGAACTAGACCGCCAAACAGTTGTGAGAACGAAGTTCGACAAGATGCTAATGCGGGTCGATGAATGAAGCACCGCGTTAATGCACCCAACGGAAACAATTCTTCATTCCTGCATGTCTAAAAAAAGTACGAAACACAAAAGACGTGTTTTAGCTGACTGTGGCCCATACTGTAAACCGCCCAATATTCGCGTCACTAAATTCTCGCAATTTCTTAGAACCAGCAAGTTTGCGGTGTCAAAATTTTGCGAAGCACCGGGGCCACCTACATACACCCACTGTTGACGTTTGATTTCACGCTGGTTGGTTAATATTCGCGTTATGCTCTTCTCGGGAAAATCGCGAGCATTGATCCGTCGTGAATATTAGGCCGTTTACAGTATCCTAAACAAGCGCTTTCTGGCATGAACAGTGGGTAAAGAGTGTTTGCCCTACCTCCTTGAAGAGAACGTCGACACCCTCCGGTGGATGCCGGGCACACAGATCATTGTACGAGTACTTCTTGGAGTACTTCTCCAGCTCCTGAGCAGGGAATGAGACGCACAGAACGACAGAAAAACGGCACACTTCAGACTCTTGAAGAACATTTTCGAGCGTTTTCAGTTTCACACATAGTATGTACGTTCAAGCCTTATCATTGAATCACGGTTCATGTGAGACTCAGCTGGAGGTGGAGTTGTCCGCATCCGTGGGAAAGCCACCACCCCCAAGGATCAAGGCGCAGATGCAGCACATATGAATTGATGTGTCCCATGGAGCTGCAGACATGTCCGTGCACGTTGTGCTTGTGCTTCAAGTAAATGGGGTTTCTTACAGCGTCGACAAGCGTGATGCCAGCGTTCTCGTCATTCATTTCCGCCTTCAGCTCCTCGTAGGACTTTCCACCCTGTCAACATAGATGCACGCGTGCAAACACACACAGGCACACACACACACACACACACACACACACACACACACACACACACATACACACAGGGAGACAGATAGACAGGCACACGCACACACGCACATGCACGCGCACGCACACACACACACACACACACTCACACTCACACACACACACACACAAACATACACACACACACACACACACACACACACACACAAACATACACACACACACACACACACACACACACACACACATACACACACACACACACACATGCACACACACACACACACACACACACAAACATACACACACACACACACACACACACACTCGCACACACACACACACACACACACAAACACACACACACACACACACACACACACACACACACATCAGTACATACATATGCAAGGAGCATGGTGCTTGATGGCAATGACTTGATGACGGGACAGCATGTTTTCGTGCACAGAAAGACGGATCATACAGCTCAACTTACACTCCACTTCTCCGGGTCCCATCCGTGGAAAGACGAGGTGAAGCCTGGTGGCTCGAATCCCTGTTTGACCTGCAGCATATGAGTGTCCTCAACACTGCGGTTTGTTGGATCCGTCTCCACGTACTCCTGTATAGTGAACAAAAGTACACAGGGCAAACACAGGGGGGGGGGGGGGGGGGGTGGAGGGTTGTACATGCATGGATCAAAGAACATAAACGCCACGTCTCAAAAATAGATTTTTTTCATCTGGAGCCAATGAAACAATTTCGATACTGGCATGCCAACATACTACTATCGTTTTACAACGATTCAAATTTCAAACTGGTGAGAACAACCGCAGTATGATAGACATTCCATCCAAGGGTCTTCCTACACAATGCCATCAAGCAGCATACTGTACTGGGTGCGCCTGTAGCGACCTCGCTGCTGCCATCACGTCAATCTCCCTCGCCCACTCTCGCACATACGCATGCGCAAGGAATATCTCTTCCTCTTTGTCTTGAAAAAATTAACAACAACAACAAGCATTGTATCCCTTTTCCCTGGAGTTGTAATTTATTAGGCCCCAGGGTGGTATGCCCCGGGAAAGGTCGGTCTCCTCGTGTGCAGATACGACCTCTGCCACCTTGGGTGCCTAAACACCAACCTTGACGGTTCTCAGCGACTCCTTCTTCTCAATGGCGTTTGCATTCCTGCCGACCCACACGTACACCTGTGAGCAGACAGAAGGAACCATACAGGATGAGTCTTACACAGTCAAGCTCCGATGTCGTCTAAAAGAACTAGTGATGTCACGAATAATCGATTATTCGAATTTCCTCGATCTCTTGGACCTCAACGAATAATCGACCGGATGACATCCAGGTCGAAGGTTCGAAAATTCGAATATTCACGGACGGGCAAAGTCCATGCACTGCATACCGCGCGTGCGCGCGCGCGACTCTTGATCTCTTGACTTGAATGCATAAACGTTGTACTGTATTGCAGACAACGACTAGACTACGCGCGGTAGACCATGGTAGACTCTACTGTGACTGGAGTCTGAGCGCTTGTGCTGTGTGGTTGCTGCACGTACACTTTTGTGGAATAGTAGAATAGTCGTTCGTTCGCTTGAGAGTTATTAGCTCGACTATTCGTTCGTAAAATTCATGGTTCGTTGCATCACTAAAATAGAACACACCAACAGTCTTCTGAACCAAACGTTTCCGTTTCCTTCGCCTCAGCGGCTGCTCATACAGGTGATAAAAGGAAATTTCTAAAACAGCAAATATGGGCTAGGAAAGGGGAAACTATCATCTTCGTAAATATTAGACTGATGTGGACAGTGTAGATACAAAACCTTCATTTGAGAATTGGACATGCTTCCAATTTGTTTTATAATTTCATTGATACCACATCAGTACAGGCAAGAGCCCATAACCGCCAGAGTGTGCAACGCGCGATAGGGTCTTGTCACGACTCGTTTTCAACATTAGGTCATTTTCATGTAGCGAATGTCGCGGCCTGCACGCGCAGCTACATGAAAAATGACGTAGTGTTGAAAACGAGTCGTGACGGAGATTTGTGTGGCGTTGCACACTCTGGGGGTTATGGACTCTTGGTACAGGTGGTGTGCTTCACTGTCCGAAGAGTACTCAATACCCATGTACATGTAGGGCAGAGCCTTGTACATAAGAGAGAAGCTGTGTCGCAACTCAAGTTTCACGTAATCTACGATCATCAGGCAACTGATGGCTCGTAAACAGGCAGCCATATCACATCAGTACAAAGCATTCTCTTCGGCGATTCGATGGCCGTGACTTACCGCATCGTACGTATCCATTATCATCACGTCATCCTCGTTCAGATCCTGAGAGAGCGCAGAAGAAAACCAGGGCACACACTCGCATTACCATACATGTTCAGTGCTGCTCAATGAAATCCAGTCGCGTCACTCAAGTAAGCGCCAGGGCGTTGCGCAGCCCTAGAGCTGCGGACACTGGGCTGCTAAATGGTGCAAGGTGCAAGTTTGAGCGACGCTGCAACTGGATTTCATTGAGCAGCGCTGTACATTAACTGCGCTACATTGTAATTTATTTACAACATCCATGTACATGTGCTAGTCCGATTGCCAGCTACCTGAACACACCACACATACGTAAGCCTTCCACAGATGTACGAGTACACGTTTCAAGTAAACAGGGCAGGAAATGTGCAAGCTCCCACGTGGGGAGCAGCACACATGCTTTCCCTAAGGCGCCAGCAACTTTTCCGCAACATGGATTGGCTGTTATCCTAGGAAGGTAAGTGCTTGTGTGACGAACCTCTTGTGTGAAATCCAGGATTTCCTCAGCCAAGAAGCGACCAGATGCATTGCTGCAGTGGAAGAGGCGAGGTGGTTGTTCCGGCACAACATCCTGCATGCCACCAAACACACACACACACACACACACACACACACACACCAAGATCAGTATTATACGTTTGCTGTAGGCTCACTATACTCAGGTGCTATATACACACACACATACACATACGCAAGCGCACACACACACACACACACACACACACACACACACACATATGCACACGCATACACATACACACACACATATACACCTACACACAAAACACACACACACACACACACATTACCCCCCCCCCCCCCCCCACACACACACACATACAAACACACATACACACACATATAATTATATCCCATTGCTTTGTAACTTGCTAATCCCTCCCCCTTTTGTGTACGTGCTTTTCATTTTCTTTTTTCTCTTCTTTCGTGGTTGGTGTAACCCTCTCCTCAATTCAATTGGCTGTCTCGACATGCTACTAGTTGCAGAAATAGATAAATAAATAAAATAATACACACACGGTGACTTACAGCCAGGCGAGGAGAGTCAGCATATGATCCTTTCCCGCCGAGGCCATACCAGAACCCTTGCGGTTCAGATCCTTCTTCAACGCTCTCTACATTACTGAAGAACAAGGACACAGACCGTGTATGAAAGGACTCAGTTTAGAATAGCTGTGCATGGTATGTGCTATATTGTGTCAGTGTCTGCTCTAGGATTGTAGGACAGCCGGGTACACGTGTACCTGGCGCAACCATTTCAACCGGGTCGGAGCCGGGTACACATGTACCTGGCGCTGTCTCACCAGCCGAGTCACATGCTTTAACTGGTTGGTTGGTTTATTTTAATTCGGACAATAAACGGGAACTAGGCCCAATGATATAAAGGCGAATGGATAAGCCGCATTTAGAAAAGAGAGGACAGGAATTAGAAAATTACGAAAGAAGAAGAAGTACTGGAGTCTGACACATACAAGCCATGTAGTCAGTCCTTTCAAAGTTCGAAAGTGTAAAGTACCAACCGGGTCACAGGTGACCCGGTACTATATTTTCAACCGGGTTCAAGCGCCGCCCAACCGGGTGGATTACCCGGCTCACCCGGCGCTGGAGCAGACACTGTGTGTGTACACTGGATATGCCATGAGGCAACACACACCGGTCACAGTTCACAAGCCGCTATGTCCAACCCTGCATACGGGTTCGTGAAAACGCAGTTCATCATCAGTGTCGTTTTGACGTCAAACAGTCGGTCACATTCATACAATCAACTTACCTGCCCGGAGCAATGACATCCACGATAGAGCTACCGAATGACTTCTCCTCGGAGCTAGCACCCTGCAAGAGAACCATGAGTAAACAGTGCAACTACGAGTTTAGTGATTGAGCACTTGCTCGATGATGTTTAAGCAGAGTTGAAGTCTGCATTTCCATGGCCCATACAGGAGGTACTCAGGGAGAGAGGGGGGGGGGGGGGTGGAGGGGTGCGGACGACCCCCCCCCCCCCCCCCCCAGATTCTCGTCTCGTACCGCACGTGCATACGCTTAGAGTGCCGGTATTGTGATATCTACACGCCGCACGGTTACATGCATGCCGATGTAACCCTCCTCTGAAGAACCCTGCGTACGTCCCTGCCATAGACAGTAGATGTGAAGCAGCCAACCTCTTCCAAGATTGGTGGATGTGGTTATGACCATTTAGAATGGTCTCTGCTGGCATGACTGCTACACCCTAGCTCAGTGGTAAGAGCATTGCTGGCATCAAGCGAAGGTCCCTGGTTGGAGCCATGGTGTTGAGTGACATTCGATTTTTTCCAGACTTTTCCTGAACAACTGATGAGCAGGGAATTATGGGAGTGTTTTTGCCAATCCCCCTTCCCATCCACCCTCATTTGACTTGCAAATACCGTATTTTACCGGTTGTAAGTCGACCCCGGTTATAAGTCGACCCCCGTATCTGTAGGTCTC